GGCTAGCATAGAGTGTGGTGGTAAAGGTATGCTCAGCACTAATGGAGATGGTGTGCCCACCTCAGGGGGTCTGTTTACGTGGCGCATCTTCCTAGAAGCCTTCTTAGGCTCCGGTGCCAGAGTATGTTTTAGTTCTGGCTGCCAGGAACTGGTGTGTTCAGCTGGTGCTGGGTTGCCTGCAGGTGGCAGCATATGCTGCTTTGTCAGTGCCGGTGGGGTAACCGCATCAGTGGGTGCCATGCCAAAAAATAGTATGCCGCTTGGATTCCGACACAGCCATCTTGGCTGAGCTCGGTTTTCGCTTCTCCACAGTGCTGGAAGTTGACAAAAAATAGTATGCCGCTTGGGTTCCGACACAGCCCTCTTGGCTGAGCTCGGTTTACGCTTCTCCACAGTGCTGGAAGTTGACAGCCCCAGGGAATAAGCAGCCCAGGACATAGCTGGCAATGACAGTGCTGGGGAAGACTTCAGCATACAAGAACGTCTTTGGGGTGATGAATTGGCCCTTTTATAGGGCACTGAATATGCCCACGTCTCTGGGAACTTTTCCCTTGGTGGTTGGAGGGATTTTCCCCAGAGAAGATTCTTCAGCCTCATTTCACGGTCTTTGCTCACTCTGGCTGTCATTATTTTGACAATGCAGGCACTTCTGAGCTACATGGCTTTTCCCCTAAGCATTTTATAGAGGACGTGTGTCCATATGAAACTGGCATTGAGTCCCGACATGAATCACATTTCTTGAAGCCAAGAGAACATGGCATGTTGAACAAACATGAAGATTCAGAAGCTAGAGAAACCTAGAGTAGGGAAGAAGAAGATGAAGAAAAAATGGGGGAGTGGATTCCCCCCCCCCAGTAGAGAACTAGGTAAAACTAACTGACTAAAATTAACAACAAACTGTATCTAAATATATATATGTCAGAAAGGAAAGCACTGCTGTGATTCCATCTTCAGCCCAGGACAGTAGAAAAGGAACTGAGGGAAGCTCATGCTGAGCATGCATCTAATGAATGAAAACAGCGTGAGACGGCGACTGCAAAAGCGCGGTGAGGGAAGATACTGCTAGACAAATATCTCCCATCAGCAGCACAAGGACGCACTGAGACCTGAGTGGAGCACCCCAACAACACCACTCTAAGGAGAATAATGTGCTTTTTCTCCCAGAGGCCAGCAAGGAGTGACAGGCATGACAGCAGGGGGCTAGAGTTTCCCACTGAAGCACAATGCAGAGACGTGGAGACCCTACTTTACAGCAAGGTTCTGCTTTGTGCTGGGAAAGCCAACCATTACCATTACCAACACACCATCACAAGCCTTGGAGGACAGGCCAATCCTCATCTACAAATAACTCCCTAACCTCAAACAAATTCTTCCCAGTAGCCACAAACCATACCTCCATTATAGTCATCCAGGAACCTACCCCTGCAATCAGCACCGATGCCAACTCTGTCCACACATCTTTACAAGCGACATCATTACGGGACCTAACCACAGAAATCACTACATCAGAAGTTCGTATAACTGCATATCCACCAATGTGATCTATGCCATCAAATGCCAGCAATGCCCTCTGCCATGTATATTGGCCATACTGGACAGGCTCTACAAGAAAGGATTAATAGACTCAAATCAGATATTCAAAATGGTAACACTCGGAAACCTGTTGGGGAACATTTTAACTTGCTCAGACACACATTAATGGATCTCAAAGTTATCATATTATTGCAAGCCAATTTTAAAAACCATCTTGAAACTGAGGCTTCTGAACTTAATTTCATTTACAAGTTTGATACCTGCAACAGATAAATAAACAAAGACCGTGTGTGAATGGCCTGCTACATTCCACATCCTAATGACATAAAAAACCAAGCACAGGATACTTAAGAGCACTTCATAACCAGTCTATCAGCTTCATTTAACGTGGACACTCTAATTGTTTTCCCCCTTTTTTCCTTCTTCTTCCTTCTCTTCTCCCCCCGCCGCCCCAGTCTCCTTTCTTTCCCTGCTATTTATTTGGAAACCAGACCCCTTAACTCCATTCATCTGAAGTGGGTTGTGCCCACAAGCTTATGATATCATCTACAGTAATTCCTCATTTAACATGTGCCCGCTTAACAAGTTTTCGCAATAGCACGATTTTTTGGGGGGGAACGTTTTTTGAATTACACAACCGTCCCCGGAATAACACGATTTCCCCAGCTGGCCCATTGCCGGTGGCTGCGTGGGGCTTCCCTCGCCTCCCTGCAAAGTGGCGGAGGGTTTGCCGCTCACCGCTCCATTCCCCACTGACTCCCGCTTGCTGGACGCCTTGCCCCCTCTCCTCCACCCCCGCTTGCAGGCTGGCGGCTGGGCTTCCCCCGCCTCCCTGCAAAGCGGCAGAGGGTTCGCCACTCCTTGCACTGTTCCCTGGCCATCTCCCCTCACCAGACACAGTGCAGGTCCCGGCAGACTTGTCACAGGGGCATACTCCCAACCCAATCCCTCTCCCCTCTCTTCCCTGCCCCTTCCCCAGAGCCAAACACCTCCCCTCCCTGCTGTAATCCAGTCCCCTTTTTCCTCCAACCTTGTGTCCCGGTCCCAACAGAAGCCACTGCTTGAAACACAACCCTCACCTTTTCCATTATTTTCACTGGGAAAACTGACCCCGCATAACACATTTTCACTTAACATGATCATTTTCTGAAACATATCTACAGTGTTAAATGAGGAATTACTGTAAACTTTTTATTAGTCTCTAAGATGCTGCAAAACTGTGTGTTATTTTTAATTTTTTTTCATTACCAACAATAAGAAAGACTGACAGGAGTGCAAAGGCAGACAGGACTCTACCCTATCTAAAATGCTGACAAACCCTGGACTCACAGGAAGGGGAAGCTCAAACCATGGGAGGAACTGTCTCACAACTTTTACTGTTTTCAGCTATCTGTAATCCTTGACTGCTTGAAGAGTAAACAGACTGTAGTTAAGAAACTCCTTTGCTAAATGTTCTTTGCACATCCCATATCCCAAGGAAGAGATGTGTCAGACAAAAGGTCTGAGACTAGGAGTACAGTGACTAGACCCTACCCAAACCCAAAGGGCTTGGAAGCACATGTCAAAAGCTGCAAATATCTGCTCAATATTATCTACTTTAATATTACAAACTTAAATGTAACTCATATGTTGCCTAGGGATTTTAGATATTGTGTTTTTAGTAATCATGTAGCCACAATAATTTTTAACGGTTACATGATCACTAAACTGGTCCCCAGGGGTGGCGCCGGCAGCCAGTGCATTCCCATCTCCAGGCCCCACTCTCAGGGAACAATTTGCCACCCTGCACTGCTGTCTCTGATATAGAGGCAGCAGCATCCCCTGTCCATGGGGGCCCCAAGCTCCCCACAGACAGAGGCTGCACTGACATCTCGTGGAGCAGCTTCTGTCTGCGGAGAGCCTGGGCTGCTGCAGACAGAGGCTGCTCCATGGCAGCCTTCCCTGCCCACACTTCCCCCCACACTACTGCCTCTGATACAGAGGCAGCACCAGCTCCTGCCTGCCCTCCTCCCCCATGCTGCTACCTCTAACAGAGATGCGGAGGTGGGGGGCAAGCAGCTCTGCTCAGGCACCCCCTCCTGTCTGCACCCTTGTGCTGCTGCTTCTGTATCAGAGGCAGCAAGGGGCGGGGCTGCGTGTAGTCATTTGGATTAACCTTATCAGTTAATTGTTTAAACATCTATATAACAACATCCCAAGAGGTGACATCCTTTAATCTTCCTCATGATGCAAACTAAACAAAACAAGAAGGCAGAAAGCATCTAAGTCCTTCCAAATCTTGCATGACCATATGACAGGGAGAAGGCACCTCTATCAAAATGTGAATGAAGGTGAGAGCCTATTTCTCCTGCCACTCTAGCAACTAATGTATAGAGGGAGGCTTAGCAATCCCTTCCACCTATCAGAACTATCAAACTAGCGGGTGGGTTACAGCTTTATAGAAAAACTAAACATTGGATATAGATATTTATTTATAATAACTATACAGGAAACAGAAGACAATGTGGAAATTCTTTTTAGTCTAGATGAAATGTTGATGGTGTAATGATAAATGATGAGGCGTTTGGATCTATGTGAAATCAATGTTATGTCACACTGCTTCAATAGTCCTTGCAAGCTGAAGCTGCTTAGAATTTCGCAAACGAAATCTTTGTGACCACAATACAAATTATGACACTCACAAAGTATAATTCTGAACTTTAATCTCTTTCTTACTGGAAAAAAGCTGCAGAATTTGGACACAGCAGAGAACAATGAGGTCACAAGTTCCCCTATTAGCTTTGCCATTAGCAGTTCTCATTGATTATTCCTAACATTAATTTATCCACCAGAAGCAATGCAATCTTTTTAGATTGTTAAGTGTTACAAATACCCAAAGAAAGCATACTGACACTATTTTTTTCTACCAAAAGTCTTTCAGGCAGATTAAACTGTATATTCCTCCCCACAAGTAATCAGATGTTTCTAAATAATCTATCTTCACAAATGGAGAATTCTTGACCTTATTTTTAAAAGCAAGAATCCTCTTTCTACATTCATGCTCCCATCTTTTCTCACCAAAATACTTTGGGGGAACCTAAACCTATCCTCACAGACGTAGTAGATTTACAGATCTCAAATAACAGTTCCCTAAATGATCTTGCCTTTATCCTCTCCAAAAGAAATAATCTCTAGGTATTACTAACTAGCCTGTCCTCTGAAAGATTAGCAAGTATTTCTGACTCTGTTTTTATCCCTTTCAGTGGTACTAACTTATCTTTCTCAGGAAATGTTTTTGGCTCTTTTTTTGATGAAGTACACTAGGTGCTCTTTCAATAGATCTTCTCAATATGCTTTTTCAAGAGATATTTTATAGCAGCAAGATTAGTGCCTCCATATTGCTGTACCTGAAAAGCAGCTACGAACCTTACAACTTAGCAAATGACTGAGACAGTGCAGTGCTTTTATGAAGATGAAGACTTATTCACCTGTTGGAGTTGTGCTTTTGAGATGCGAATGACAGGGGGAAACTTGTTGCCACTGGGAATGACAGGAAGTTGTCTACGGCCAGTTGAACAGGAAGAGGAGGAATGGCTCTCTGCTGATTGACTCCTGGGTAACCCAGCCTCTTTCTTAGGGTCCAAGTGGGAAGACAGATGGGCTATATGGCTCAGGGTGCAGAGGAAGGGACTTGAAATTCTCGGAGTGGAGAAATGCAGCATATGAGATGAGTTGAGCTGTGAGAACAACATGGTGGGGAAAAATAAGTTTTTCAAATATATTATTTGTAACAATTTATTTTTAACTTACTCTCTGTGTAGCTTTCTTACAATGCCAGAATCAACTGTGTCTCAGGCTAAAAGGTGATAGTTTAAAAGGCATATAAAATCTGAAGCCCCCACATTTATCATCCATTTTAAAAAATTAATATCAAAATTAGATATTCTCTTTGGCCATCTATTCCCCTAACTTTACTCATATATTCAGCAAACATACATTCAGGATATATAGAAACACTAGGCAAAAAAACTGTTGCAAAGATGAGTGCAGGCAATTGTTGATCATTGCACTGGTCTTTGCTATTGTTTAACACAGCATTGTTTTTTGACTGAACTATTTGTGCAGATCAATACACAGCATGCTTTACAACTGTGGTTGTACCGAAGCACAATGGGACTGCTGAAACACTAAACTCGAAGGCTATGTCTACACTGGTGGCTTCTTGTGCAAGAACATCTTGCGCAAGGATTCTTAGGCAAGAAGTCCTGCGCAAGAACACGTCCACATCGCCATGTGTGAGATGTGTTTTTGTGCCAGAGTGCCCATGGAAGTGTGGATGCACTCTTGTGCAAGAAACACCGATGGCCATTTTAGCCATAGGGCTTTCTTGCGCAAGAAACCCCTGCCGAGCGTCCATACTGCCCTCTTGCACAAGAGCTCCTGCGCAAGAGGGCTTACACCTGTTAAAAAAAGAGTGTAGTCTTGCACAAGAAGCCCTCTCTTACCACACCATACTGTAAATCTTCTTGCGCAAGAGCGGGTGGGCAGTGTGGACACTTTCCAGAAGAACCACCGTTCTTGAGCAATAACTCGCCAGTGTAGACATAGCCATAGGGTTAAGCACTGAGGTTAAAAGGTGTGACTTTAGGAAATTTCCAAATCATGGTATGAAATGGTGAAGCAATTGTGGCTTCCTGTAATATGTGGATCAGGACTGAGCATAAGACTTCATCCCAAATGTTGCAACTAACAACAAAAAAAATACCCTTGAAAGAGCTTGAATGGCAGCAGTGTGTGGAATAGGCAATATGCAAGAAGTGCAAGAACAAGCCTTCCATCTAACAGTTTTTTGGAATACCTTTTCACTTAAGGTAGACAAAATGCCACTAAAACCTATAGCTCTGTGATGCATAATTCTGAAGCTAATAAAATCTTTGCAAGCATTGAATAAGCACTGAAGCAATATTATGGAATATCTATTGCTAAAAATCATCAGATGATATTATTATTTATCTCCTTCATTGTGTATCCCATTTGCCTTCCTATTGTGATTGGAAACAGAGTACTGTGGATGTATTGCACAGTTTCCAAGGAGAAGGTGTTAACAGCACTCTTAGAACTACGTGTACACTGCAGGCTTCTTGTGCAAGAAGCTTTTTGCAGAAGATCTCTTCTGCAAAAACTTCTTGCACAAGAGAGTGTCCAGAATGCATGGACGCTCTCTCGAAAGAAAGCGCTGATTGCTATTCACAGAATAGCCACCAGAGCATCTGTGCTTTTTTCAATTGGCTCTTTTTACACAAAATCCCTGTTGCCCGTCCACACACACCTTTTTGCGCAAGAGTTCTTGCGCAAAAAGGAGTTATTTCTCGTAGAAAGAAGAATACATTCACCACAAAAACCCCTCTGTTCTTTTGATTTACTGTAAATGTACTTGTGCAAAAACGCACTTGAGGTGTGGATGCTTTGTGGGTTTTTGTGCAAAACCAGCCATTTTTGCACACAAACCCTATAGCGTAGACGTAGCCCTAGAGCTTCAGTACCTGAAAAGCACAGCTGTCATTCACTTAAAAAAACCCTGTGTCATAACATCAGATGTGAAGAAGGAAGATATCTTAAAATTAAAAGAGGAAGAACTCTAAAATAAATGGAAGAGAATTTCAAAGCCCTACTTCCTATACCCCCTCAATTTCAAAGATTGCTACTTATGATCATTTTAGTGACATTTCTAAATAATAACAAACAGAAACATGCAGACAAACTTTTATAATTGTTCAAATATATATTGAAAGTGGACTGTAAAACAAGTATTACAAAAACAAACATCTGAATGATTCATTTAAACAAAGGTAAAAGTGATATCAGCTGGTACAGATTGGCCTCTTTCAATACTAGAGAAAATTTTGTATTGTTGAGAGATCTGACAACTACTACATATTCATATAGCATATGCAGTCTCAGTGCAATTGGATACAGCAGAAATATGAAAGAACAGGAAAATTAGTTCCCTCATTTGTAATTTTTATTTCTCTTATTTGGAGGCACCATGAGCTCTACACATTACTCATGGACTATGCCTGTTCATTTCCCCCAATAGATTCATCTTGGGGTACGTCTACACAGCAATATTATAACTAGTGTTATTTCTAACTATCTTAGTCCGTGTCTACACAGTAGGCAGTTATTTAAAAAAAATGTCAAAAAACTGTCAAGCTGGAGGACTTCTTACTCTGACTCCTGTTACCCTCATTGTACGAGGAGTAAGGGAAGTTGAAGGAAAAGTGCTCTCTTTCAAAATAAATGCTGTGTAAACGCTCCCAATTTCGAAATAAGCTATTCTGAAATAAGCTATGCAATTGACGTAGCTCAATTTGCATAGCTTATTTCAAGTTAAGCCCTGCTGTGCAGATGCACCCTTGGACTGTTCTCTTTCCTCTTTGAGTTCAGGTTCCACATAGTAGGCTTCTACAGCCATGCATTTTGACCCAGAGAGATTAGTTCTAATGCAGGAACTACATAAATTAGGCAGAAAACATTAACATCATTGTAGATAGCATGATTAGTAGAATTAATGAAACTACATCTACAAACTAAATCTGAATAACATTCTTTTAATGTAAAAGGAGATTTTCCAAGACCAGTGCTTGCTTTACAAGTTAAGTAAATGAATTTTCTCTCTCATATACATGAGTAGGCCCCCCCCCCCAAATTCATCACCATGAAATACACATCATGTACCATGAAATCTGGTCTTCTCTGTGAAACCTGGTTTTTTGTTTGCTTTCCTTCTATACTATACAAACTTCATGGGAGAGACCAACGTTTCTCAAATTGGGAATCCTTACCCCCAAAAGGGGACTATGGGAAGTTGCAAGGTTATTTTAGGGGGGTCATGTCATTGCTACTCTCACTTCTGCATTGCCTTCAGAGTTGGGTGGCCACAAAATGGCTGCTGTTACCAGGTGCTCAGCTATGAAGGAAGTAAGGGTGCAAGACCATACCATGCCACCCTTACTTCTATGGTGCTAGAAAGCCGAAGAGTGGTGGCTGCTGACTAAAGGTCCTGTTTTGCTAGCAATCATACAAAAGGGTGGCAATATCATACCATGACATTCTTACTTCTGTATTGCTGCTAGTGGCATATCTGACTTCAGAGCTGGGATGGTAGGCAGCAGCCTATGCTCTCCAGCTGTCCAGCTCCAAGGCCATGCTGCCTCCAGAAGCATTGCAGAAGCAAAGGTACCACAACCTCCCATCCATCCATCCATCCACCCACCCACACGCACACACACAATAACCCTGAAACCCCCACAACTTCTTTTTTGGGACAAGAACCTATTAGAACACCATGAAATTTCAAATTTAAAAAGACAAAATCATGACATTTATGATTTTTTAAAATCCTATGACTGAAATTGACCAAAATGGACTGTGAATTTGGTAGGGCCCTACAGATGACACAGAAAGTGTAAGAGACAAGAACTGAAATCACAAATACTGAGTCCCTGTACCCTGATTTAACCTCTAAACCTGTGGTTTCCAACCAGTTCTGAAAGGACCACATTCAACCAGCCAAACAGCCACATGTGGCTAGTGCAGGAGTTGGCAACCTTTTCAAACCAAAAAGCCAAACTATATCAAAATTCAGAACAAGTGGTCAACAAAGAGCCATATAAGAATGCCCATATGCATAACTGAAAATACACATCTTAATATTATTGATAATTGACACGATTAATATAGCATAAATGAAACATTGTACTCACAGACTTTATTTAATGGGACTTATGCTGCATCTTTTCATGCTTTTCTTTGAAGTTTACATCATAACTGCTCAAATCCAGCTTCATGCACACATTCAGGCTGTCTTCCATCAATCTTATGGCAGGGAATTGGAGATATGGGGGTGCAGGAATCTGGGTTGGGGTATATGAGGGACTCAGGGCAGGGGGTTCGGGTATGTGGGAGATGGAGGAGTATTATGGCAGGGGATTGAGGATGTGGGGGTGCAGGAGTCTAGGGATGTGGAGGTATGAGAAGCTCAGGGAAGGGGGATCAGGTGTATGATGGGCTCAGGGTAGGTGTGTGGGGGTGTGCAGGAGTGTGGCCAGATGGGGACTGGGCCCCAATTGGAGGCTTGCTGGCCAGGCTTCATTTTTAAATAAAGTAAAATATTATGTCTAACACAAAAGGTTTCAATATTGTCTTTATTTATGGCAGAAGTGGGGAACCTGTTTTGGGTTGAGGGCCACTGAGTTCACGTGAAGGAGGCAGTTGTGACCCAAGGCACGGGACTGAGGGGCAGGAGTTTGGATTGTGACCTAGAGCAGGGGACTGGGATGTAGGAGGGATTGTTAGGGCACAGGGTCTGATAGTTCACGTGAAGGAGGCAGTTGTGACCCAAGGCACGGGACTGAGGGGCAGGAGTTTGGATTGTGACCTAGAGCAGGGGACTGGGATGTAGGAGGGATTGTTAGGGCACAGGGTCTGATAGGGGAGATGGGCTCAGGAAGGCGGCAGAGGGTTTGGGTTATGTGGGGTAGGCGGGCAGAGGACTGGGTGGGGAAGGAAGGGACTGGGGTGCCAGACGCAGACTCTGGCCAGGAGACTTTCCAGTGAGATTCCCAGCCCGCAACTCAGCATGTTTCTCAAGGAGCCTGCCCTGCCCCCACACAAGCTGCAGAGGACTGGGTGGGGAAGGAAGGGACTGGGGTGCCAGACGCAGACTCTGGCCAGGAGACTTTCCAGTGAGATTCCCAGCCCGCAACTCAGCATGTTTCTCAAGGAGCCTGCCCTGCCCCCACACAAAGAGCCGGAGGGGAGGGGGATTGGTGCGTCGCACGCTGCCTGTTCTTGAAAAAGGCAGCTTCCATTGGCCAGAAACCAGCCAATGGGATTGTGCTGAGGACAGGAGCAGCCATGAAGCACCACTCCCCATTCCCTCCTGCTCACAATTTGTGAAAAATATACAGTCCTGAAGCTGCTTTTCTGAGTGGTGAGCAGGGGCAGAGCAAGCAAGGGAGTCTGCCTGAGGCTCCCTGTTATATCCACAGGCTGAACTGTTTTGCCCTGGGCCTGCTGTAGCTCCAGTGTGGGCTCCCTGCTGCGGAGGGAGCAAAGGGTGACTGGGTTCGAGCTTCAAAACAGCCTAGTAAGCCACAGGTTGCTGACCCCTGGGCTAGTATGTTGGACACCACAGCTCTAAACTATAGTGCTTCTCTGAGTAAGGAAGGGGAGATATAAAGTCTGAGGGTAAAGGAAAACTATTGGACATTGTGCAGGTGAGGGATGCATGACACAGAAAAGAAAAATGTGCCAATAGGAGAAGCAGCAGAGGAATCTGTTGGGTACTCTGTCCAGCAGAAGAGAGGCATATGACAAGCAATTACAGAACTATTTCAGGAGTGGGAAGTAGCAGTGGAGTTAGAGAAGCCAGTAGAGAAATCTAACTGGTTCAAAATATATTAAAGGTAATAGAAACATAAATACTACAGTGTCTATGCACTAGAAGTCCTTATAATCAATAAACATAGTCTAGCCTGTCAAAAGGGAAGCCAAGAAGTTGTTTCAGGGCCTGAAAGCAGCAGAGGATATTCAGGAGAAAGAAACTAATTTTAAGCTGGAGGGAGAAAAGAACTTTGTTTCTTTGGTACACTACTAGCTTCTGCCCATTAGACTTTCTCGAAAGGACATAACATCCAGTTGCATGGTATTTTACACATTTGTTATACTTCCTGTTTATTTACTCACATTCATATGTGTATATTTCATTGGCTGAAAGGTTTGTAATATATATTTTTAAATTATGCCCAGTTCTGAGGGTTGTTCATTACTGAGTAGCAAACCTCTTAAATAATTCAAACAAATTTAGCAGATCCTGGGAAATCCCCAGTGCAGAGTCAAGCCTCATATCCCATTACCTAAAAATTCCAGAACACTTTACATTTTAGCCACTGCCTTTTCATTTACTGCTTTATTCTCATATACCTCTGAATAAAGAGTAAAGACATGATTACAACTATGAGTTTCTTACCAGAGTAAGGGCTCCTTCAGCTTGGGCCTCCATTGGACTTGAAGGTGTGGCTGCAAGAAACTGGCCAGCAGCTCCAGCCATGAATTCTAATTTATCTGTAAATCTTTCGGAAGCAGCAGTAGCATGATCAATAGCTAGATCTAACCCCACACCTGAGGCTTCATTCTTAGCATGGACATTGTTTTCTGCCCAAGTACCCAGTCTTAGATGTTCCTCTTGGGGGGATTCTTCTAGGACCTGTAGCTCCTCAGGCTCCTCATCTGAGGGACTTCCAGTTGTTTTATGTACTAAAGCCCCATTGGTCCTGAAATCTTTCAAGTCCCGTTCCTTATCTACTATCACCCATTCCTTGGAATCAACCTCCTGCCGGCAGGAGCTTAAATTGACAGCCACAAATCCATTACTAACAATGCCATCAACCTGTTCTGGAGAACTGGCTGAAGTAGGCTTAGAAGCATCAGGGAGATATTCTTCATCATAATGCCAGACATGGTCAGTGCGGGCAGCCAGAGCAGGAACAGATATTTTCTGAGGAAGAGAAGGAGGAGGAGCAGCAACAGCAGATTCTTTCCCAGCACGTGAATCTTTCTGCATCTTCTGCAAGCTTAGGAGAGAAAGAAGTTACATATAAATTAGTTAAGAATGAACTATGCTATTTGAATTGTGCCATAGGAACAAACCCAAGATAAATTAATTTGAGAATCTGTTGCAGTGTTTCCTACCACATTTTAGAAGCTGGGAAGAAAAGCAAATAAAAAATAACCTACAAAATTAACTTTGTAAGCATGTGCTAATTTACAGAAGCGTGACAGAAATGGGCCCTTAAATTAAGAATTCCTTGAGGTAAGGTCTTTACCTTTATTTGTCTACAAGATGCCATGAATACCTGCAGCTTATTGTAAATAGTAATAAACATTCAATAAAAATGTAACTTGAAAATGCAAAATAGGATATAAGCAAGGGATGTTCCTCAGAGCAAATACTATGGATCCAGTAAACATTATGAGTCATAGCTGGCATAAGCATAGCTCAGCATCGTCATTTCAAGTTTTCACTGACCACTGTCTGTGGATACAGTACCACAAAAAAGAAAATACAGTCTATGCCAACAAGCCTCTAAAAGATCCAAGCATAAAGGTGAGATAGAAATAATCTGTTTACCAGGTCTCAAGAAATTTATCAGTGTCTGGCTTTGATTCCAAGGTCAGGCGTTTCTCCAGTTCAAAGCTGTGGATTGCACGTAACTTTCGCATCAGTGGGACATCTCTGTCTGGCTGGGTGGTTTCTGAGCGGACTCGAACCGGAGAACCAAGGCTTGGTGCATTAAGAATTCCATTCACTGGTCCATGGCTGTTTTCCTCCTCAGTAGAAGCCTGTTCAAATAAAGCACAATAGAAATAAAAATGTAACTCATAGGTATGCTGAAATAATGGAAGACAACGGTGTATGCCGGGGTTGGCAATGACATGATGGTGGTTCACAAGCATTAGTCCCTGGTGGGCTACTGCTTCTGTATTTACCTGCACGGCCACAGGTACCAGCGATCACAGCTCCCATTAGTAGTGGATCGCTCTTCCCAGCCAATAGGAGCAGCAGGAAGCAGCGTGGATGGGGACATCACTCCCCACAGCTCCCACTGGCCAGGAACAGCAATCCACAGCAATGGAGCTGCAATCACTGGTACGTGCAGCTGTGCAGCTAAATACAGTGGTTGGGGCCCACCAGGTGCTAATCCTAGCAGATCAGATCATCCCATGGGCCGGTAATTGTCCACCCCTGGTGTATGCAGTAATCCAAGGCTTCTATTCTCTAACAAATCATTTCATATTGAGGATGCTCCTTCAACTGATGTTCATTCCATATTTCATGTAGTTTATGTGTGTTCATCATCTACCAGTTTCTTAGGCACCAGTTTAAATTAGGGATAAATTGCCAGCAATACTGTGGATGTGATTAAGGCTCAGGATGGAATAAGTCAGAAGAAACCAATAATGTCCTGATTTTAGAAATATACTGATTCCCACTCCTATTTCTAGAATTCATCAATAACAGGCCGAATCCAGAAGCCTATGAGCTTCTTCATATTGCTTTACAGACATAGCCTTTCTTATAACTGATGAAAGGTTAATCTCCATGGCTGTGTCTAGACAGGCCAGTTTTTCAGGAAAATCAGCCGCTTTTCCGGAAAAACTTGCCAGCTGTCTACACTGGCCGCTTGAATTTCCGCAAAAGCACTGACTTCCTACTGTAAGAAATCAGTGCTTCTTGAGGAAATACTATGCTGCTCCCATTTGGGCAAAAGTCCTTTTGTGCAAAACTTTTGCACAAAAGGGCAAGTGTAGACAGCTCAGATTTGTTTCCCGCAAAAAAGCCCCGATCGCGAAAATGGCGATCGGGGCTTTTTTGCGGAAAAGCGTGTCTCGATGGGCACGGACGCTTTTCTGCAAAAAGTGCTTTTGAGGAAAAGCATCCATGCCAATCTAGACGCTCTGTTCCGAAAATGCTTTTAACGGAAAACTTTTTGCCAGTCTAGACGTAGCCCATGTGAATTCACTGTTATATATGCAAGACGGCAGCACTCAAAGTCTACAAGGTAGCTTTATGATGCAGAGCAATGTTTATTAGAAATTAAAATAAGATGTCCAACTGCATCTCACTTTGTAGATCACATAACTATGATTTAGAGTTGAAGGACCACTCTGATTCCCAGTGTAAACAGATATAACTCGTACTGATATCAATGAAACTTTTATCTACTTGTATCTGACTTGAATTTGGCCCCCAAAGAGAAAAAGTCCACCTGTCTTCTGCCTCTTTTCCTTAAAAACTAACATACAGTAGGCAGGTACAAAAATAAGTATCACAGCAGTCTGGTTTTCCACCAGCATCTTTTATGTATACCTGGAAAAATAATACAGTATTGTCACTAAATAGAATTTCTGCTTAAAGAACACTTCAATAACATTTTCTGTCAGCTACTGATACCATTGTCACATCAGAGGAGCATTGGTTACAACTGTCTAAATATGAATTGTAATGATTATGAGAGAGAATAATAGAAGTAATGATAGTGAGAGACAGGAATCACTGTCAAGAGCCAGTTATAAACCAGATAAGCATAGAGCAAGTTCCCTTTCATGAAATAGTCAATGTAACTCTATTTTGATCCTTAATACCTCTATTTTTCCCGCAGTGGGAGTCTACTCAACACAAACTTAGTGATATGATACATAATGAAGACAAGCATGCATACATAGTTCAGATCTATTGTCACATCTTCACCCTTAATTACTACCACAGAAAACATTTCTGACCTCAGTCGGTGAGCAGGAACCAAAATCATCTTTGAACCCAGGCCTTTAGAAATGAAAAGAGCACTGACCCATTAAACCATGCAGCACTCTGCTTTGAAAAACCATTTTCTACTCTGCACAAATTGCAGAATATTTCAAGTGCCAAATGAGCATATGATCTTTCATTCATTATGCCACATTATCATGTCCCTGATGATGCCAGAAAATTGCTGAAAGAGGTTTTTCCCACTGCAGTTCTAAAAATACCTTACAGAGCCCCAGCTTTATTTTGTTTCTGTTGGCATCCATCTCCTCCCAGACATCTTTTTCCTGAGGACGTTGATGCCCAGAAGATCCTGGTAGTTTCTCTGGTGAGACTCCAATAGGGATACCATTCTCCCCATCACTGAGCTGCTCATCTGGAAACACCTCATCCGTGTTCTCTCGCAGCAAATCTCCTGGGATAGGTGTGGCATTGGCTATTCTACAAAGGAAGAAGTGAGAAATAATGCCGTGGAAATGACTTTGGTAATTCCATAAGCTAAAGGCATAGTATCAAAACATCCACTCAACATAAAATCTGAAAAGTTAAATTGTATCATACCATAAAACTGCATATATGCAATTCAGTTATAAGAATGAAGAAAACCTTTTAAAAACTGTTTTTCTACTGACTCTGCAGTTCCTTTCTAAAGTTGGAAATCACACTCTTCCTGATCCCTAATGTCAAAGAGACCTTCTGATTAACATGTACAGGCAGTCCCCGACTTACGCACTTACGAACGGGGCTCTCTCGCCCTGGAGCTCGCAGGCAGAGGTCCGCCACCTCGACCTCCGGGGCAAGAAAAGCTGCTCCCGGTGCCCCTGGTCTGTTGGGGACCGTCTCCAGCAGACCAGGGGCACCGGGAGCAAAGCTGCAGCAGCGGCGGG